ACGATCATAGTACGCACCTTCTTGCCGTTTCCTCTTCTCCTCAGCTGCTTTCGCTACTGGGTCCTCCTCTACCTCAGGCTTAGCTTCATCCACCCGCAACGTCTCCTCCTGCTTCTCCGGCTTCATGGAGCCCGGCCCGTCCCACGTCGGCCCATATTCCCCGCGCAGGTTGACTCCACTCCGTTCGCCGAGCGGGAAGACTCGACTGAGAAACGTCAGAATGCGACCGCAGAACATTGTCGTCGAGCCCGTCTTCGACAGCCTGCGAAGCAGGTCGTTCAATGTACGGAGAAGGACGAGTGCTTTGCCCTTCTGCGGCACCATATCCTTCGTCAGGCGGTCTGCGCGCTCCTCAATCCACGAGAAGATATGCGAGCATGATGAGATGGTCTGTGTTTCCATGATGTCGGAGAGGACCTGCAAGGGTAAGCTTTGCTCGCATGCATCTATGTTGGGTTATCAGGGGAGGAGGTAGCTAGCGGGACACGGAGGTGGCGTACCGTGCTCGGTGAACGTTAGGATGAGGTCAAGTCTATCCCGTAGCTCCTCGTAATAAGTGGTACTTGGGTCTTTCAGAGCTTTGCCTTCTGTTGCCTGTTACATACGTTCGTAATTTCGGGATGGCAAATCAATTGCCATACGTACTGCGAGGTTGAACACTTCATTTCTTAGCAGATACTCCCATTGGGTCTTCCGGTTCTCCAGAGAGGCCTTATTGTTGCTCTCTTCTAGAGTCTTCGACACGAGTTCATCGAATGTACTTCTCTCGATAGGCCGCGGAGGTAATGCACTGAGTAGTGTCCTCAGACTAGTCTCCAGAGCTTGCATGGTGCTGGGTGGCGCAGGACCGTTGTGTGGCTATGAGGCCAGGGAATTGCTTGTTCGATTTCAATATGCCGCAAGTTTCAGGGCAAGGAGAGCGAGAAAGATACAACAGTCCACGAATTGGCGATCTAGTCGAGAGTCTGTAGTATTCGTGAACCTAGTTGTCGGGTCGTTTGGGATGATCTGCGTATAAGAGCGAGCAAGCGCGCAAAACTCGAAAGCAACTTGACGCCCAATTGCATGTCTCACTCAAACTTTCCAGCATTAGGCCTGATTTTCAGTCATCGCTGACGGCTGATTCAGTGATTACATGAAAACACGGGTATCTACAACTTCCGATGGTTATAGTGTTTTGGGAGGATGGAACGCGAGGGTATGAGTAGTCGCAGCAGAGGACCACGCTAAATCAACCTTAAGACTGAGTGGTTGCGGCGGGTGTGACAGATCATAGGCTCATAGCCCTGAACCTTCCGTTCGACTCTTGTGTTTGCATGAGACCCGGGTTCACGAATCCAGTCGTACAGCAAAACGGTTGGACTTGGGCATGCTCGTGGCCGAATGCATGATGGATGGAGCAACGGACGGTACACCATCTGGTCGCGTGATAGGGAGACTTGGTCGCAGTTCAGTAACCACAGTCCGCTCTTAGAGCTAGGCGATGCGTAGCGGGTCTCCGTGCTACCTGTTGTGTACAGTGAGCTGAGAGATGTCTCGGGACCTAATGATTGTTCGCGTACCTATAGCCACAAATGCACGGGATTGCTCATGAATCTTCTCTAGCTTTCTGGTTTTCTATGCCAGTGCTCTCCTTCCCGACTGCTGCGGTCTCCTCTTGACTTGCGACCTCCTCCCCATTCACAACAGCCATGCCGATGCTCTCCTGGGTGATAGTGGCATCTGTGTCAGGCTCCAACGCGCCAAGAAGGTCGTCCAATCCTCCGATCATGCCGTCTAGACGGCTTTCTACATCTCTAGCGATGCCATCCGCAGAGTCAAGGCGCCGCAAGAGCTCTGTGACATCAGCATCGTCGCCCTCGGATTCCGTTTGCTGCAGGATGCGCTGGAGGAGTGCGATATCTGATTCCAAAGAACTGCCAGTGGGGTTCGAAACCCCATTTGGTTTCGAGGACATATAGTGCGTATCTGGAGCAGAGCAAATTGAATGAAGAGGTAAATTCAGTAGTACTGATTGGAGTCCAGCGCTGTGTATCGCGCCCCGGATCAACCGGGCCTACCAAATCTAGCGGACGCGCTGGGCAGACGCGATCACGTACTCTCGACTCTCCCAAGTCGGTCCGTGGTCGACCACAAACCCGATGGCCGCACTACAACGATACCCATACTGATAGGTATGTGATTTTCATGGTTTTGCGCTCATCTTGAACTACCATGTCACTTTCTGCAGCGTTCTGGGAAACTGCGAGCTTCAGCTCTGTCGACCTAACCGACCGATGCGACTAGTTGGCCATACAATTATATCCCATGGCCTCTGCAAGCGATATACCCTTCCTGGATCTTGCATACAGCTCCGTAAACGCTATGAGTCTTACAAGTCTGCTCTCTTCAAAAACGGAAAAGGCTTCCAGCGTCGCACTCAGACTACGATTGCGCCAAGTGGCGAAAGTTTGCGCTCCGTTGCCGACTTGAGCCCGAGCGTGCCATCATCCCTGACCAAGGAATCACCTCAGGACCTCGAAACTACTTCTGACGCTGTCAATGCAATTGTCTCCATCATGAAAGTCGCGCGCTTCTCCCCGCCTGGCAAAGCCCAAGCCCAAGAGTTGCTCGCCCTCGTCCAGGACGACCCACGGGGCGTGGATATTCTCTTCTGGCTGACCAACCCCTCCCGGAGACGGAGCCTCGTTCTGCGGGTGCTCGATGAACAGTCGGCTGCGCCAGTTCTGGTGCTACACTTGCTCTACATGGCGGACCGGCTCACGCGCGACACAGACGCGGACTTGTATCACTTTGTCGCGTTCAATCTGGTGTCACGCAAGCGATGGGCGTGGCTTGCGGGCTTGGTGCGCGTGCAGATTGAGTTGACGGGTAGCACGACGGTGGAGATGCTCAACTGGATGATCGTCTCATTCGTGCGGAGGAAAGAGAGAATGGAGCCGAGCGAGATCTTACAAATGTTCAAGTACGCCGAATTGAAGCCCACTTCCCGCACCCACAAGTTGCTTGCAGAACTCTCGAAATTGCCTCGTGCGACCGAAGCTCCCACCGCCGGAAATGTATCTGTATGTATGCTAATTGCAGACTTCCCCGCTCTCATGTTGACTGCCTTGATCCAGAGTCGAGATGCCATGTCTCTTCGTGATATGTCCTCACTGTTACTCCATCGACTACCAAAGCCAGTACTTGAAGTGGACAAGAGACAACTCAAGAGGCACTCAGAGACCATTAACACAATTCAAGCTCATTTCAAGTCGATCCAGCACCTCGTAGACCTGATAAAGCACCACGATTCACCAGAGCGTCTGGATTCTGACGCGGACGCTGCATCTACCCCGCATCACTTCCGCCTCCGGATGTTCCGCCTGAATCTCTGCTCCCTTCTAGATATCGTCGGGGACCTCGAGACGAAAAGGCCCACCCGCACGTCCAAGCCGCACAAGAATCCCGCGCTCCAGGAACGAGCGGCAGGGGCAGGGAGTGCGCAACGCGACAAGTATGCTGCAGCACTCGCAGGTGACATGCGCTCGACGCTGAAATTGCTCGGTGACCTCGCTGCATTCCTTGCTGCGCACGATGCGAAATACGCGCCGCTCGAGGAAGACGTGCGCACATTCTATCGGCGCTTGCATTCGCTGCAGACGAAGGGCCGGAGGCGCCCCTCTGGAGTGGACGTAAGGGAGAGTGGGCGAGATGGGCTGAAGTAGGTGTGGGGCTGCGCAGCTGCCCAGAAACAGAATAATAAGCAAGCAAACGGGCCATCGTGTTGCCCCCAAGTCTTCAAGTGCTTCACGCATGGGTGAGACATTGCTCTTGGTGCAGTCCTGTGCAGTCCTGTGCACCTGCAAGTACGACGTAGAGTGTTGATACCGACTGTCTACGCTCAATATCTGGGCCAAACGGTGTGGCGTCGAAGATTATTCCCAGCCCCATCGATACTCTTGGGCCTGATGATAGCGTGTGACACGGCTCATAAGGCGATATCCGATGCCAGGAACCTACAATAGACTTTATGCACGAACTCATGCACGATACCGCGGAGTACTTGCCAGTACTACAGTTTTATACCGGCCGGTGGGACACTACCGGCCAGTGGGACAAATGCCCCTCCTGCCTTCCGCACTTCCTTTCATCCTAGATTGCGAATGTATCATGCATACATACCCCACTGGCCATATGAACGTGATTTTTTAATTTTTTCTTGTCTGAATTGCTCTCGCAATGAGTCAAGTTCGTGGGAAAACTGGAATAGGCAATTTCGGTTGAGCACTCTTATGGGCTGCAGAACATCTTCTACTCCGAATTATCCTTTGTTTTTTTGATAGTGTGCTATGTCAGCACCATATACATTACATGACACGAAATTTTGAGGTCAAGAGAGGTGGAAATGCCACAGGAATATTTCCGCATTATACATGGCCAGATCACCATGTCACGCACATCACTCTCATTGTCACGTTACATGTGTCCCACTTAGAGCCAGTTTAAGGAATACTGAAGCAGCACACAACTTTTATATCACAAAATTTTGTGTACATCATATGTAATTCGCCAGAGTCTTCTAGATCAAGTTTTCCAAACCCGATTCGAGAATAAAAGAGATATGCGAGAGGTTACTCCGCAGGTGAGCCACCTGTGCGCGTGACATCTTATCTACCCGCGATACCTTATATGGTAAGTAGCCGCGTAATGTGACACTGTCCCATCGGCCGGTTTTTGACTGATAACAGGAATTGCAACTGATGGGCCTCGCGGTCGTACTTCCTCATGGATGTTGTGCTCAAAGTAGAACTGAAATAATGTTTAAGACCTGTAGTTTACATCGGTGTGCTCATTATGTAGAAAAATTGGGTTCTCTACGTCTCAGGTGATGAACAAGATTTTGGTGTCCCACCGGCCGGTATAAAACTGTAAAGTGGACATTGACGCAAACTGTTTCGAGTCCCTTCTATGTAGCGAGCTGGTACGAGGCAAACCGAGACATAAGGGAAACAAAAGAATGGCCAACGCCAGGATCGAACTGACGACCTTGGCATAACACAATGAAATCATATTAGTACCACGCTCTAACCAACTGAGCTAGTCGGCCAATAATAACAATATCGCCCTAATTACCTTGGTCGCGTAAAGAATTCACACAAATGGGTGACTTGATTTGGCCTTCCGGTTCGTCAAACTACTTGATACCAAGTGAATGAGCCTGTCTTACGGTTGACTTAAATGCCGTGTAGACTGAAACTCGTCGGATCCGGTTGAGCTATCACCAAATCTCGTGAACAACTGTGCACAAGGGACGAGGAGATGATCTAGCGTCTGTACGTCCGAAGTAACAGCTGACATTGTTCCTGGTTGGAAGTACTCGGATTTACTATGCTGATCCAGAGACGATAGTCAGGAGATAGACTTTCTCGTGGATACTGACAATACATACAGAAGTCTCCTAGTCTAGCCACGCGACCGCCACTGACCGGCACCCGTGAGGCTTCAACCTCCATACTTGGTGGTGTAACATGCTATCAGCCGTCGCCTGGTCGCCTCGGCTGAAAAGACACATGTGGAATTGATCGTTGAGCCTTCAGCTACTCACTTCAGATGTGGCTAAGCAATGCTTTTACTAGAAGTTGAGGAGACATACTCGAGAATAACGAATGTCGAGGGCGTCTTTCGGGTCAAGAACTTACGTGGCACACATACAGGAAATCAAGATCATCCCTCCGGGAACGCACCGCGGGACTACATCAGCAAACAGAATGGTTTTCCGAGTACTTCTGTACCAGAACACCCTTCACAATGACCATCTGGCATTATTCCTGGACGTGAACGCGATGTCCGTGTCAATGTTGTCAGGTGGAACCGATCAAGCACCCGCTTCCTTCAACGAAGAGACCTTTCACAGACTCAACAACAAGTATAGGAAGTCTGCTCCCTGGCAATTGTTAATATGACATTGCCACAGAGTCCGCCGTTGAGCACCATATGATCGGTGGTTCGGCAGCAGCGGGCTAGTGACATAAAAATCAAGAAGTAGCATGTGGTACAGGTGCTGCGCAAGATCGTTAGAGAGGTGAGTGCGTCGGTATTTGGGCATCAGCGCACGCATTCAACGCTAACTAATGATGCCGCTCCCGGCTCCCGAGTATGTGTGGTTGGACGATGGGCACAGGGCGAACGCCGACCGATACGTCGAAATTATTATCAGCAGACCTGCTCTCGACATTGGCAGAGAAGGTACTGGGCTGTCAGTACGGGGCTGCGCCAAAAACATGTTTCATTAGTGAGTACCAGTGCCGCATATCTTGGTCAGGATTATGGGACAGTCGGATTGGTTGAGGACAACATGAGTTCGGGCATAGTGCTCTGTGCTACTTCATTATGGCATACTGTGTCAATGCACCGGTTGATTGCTTGGGGTCTCGGAGGTGCAATTCCTCGAAGCGTGTTACTGTGTTTCTGACATAGTATCAAATGGCAGACTTCCGGCGGAGAATTGGGGCCGTGGTCTATTCTATGTTGTTGCCTCCACGCTTCTCAAACCTGGCGGTAAGTGATACTGTACCGATATCCGGGGTCTCCTAGGTGCATTATGTCGGCTTGTGGGCTGCTTCGGAATCCACCTCGTGAATCGTGGCACAGCTCCAGTGCCCCTTGAAAAACTATAACCGCTTGCACAGCATATAATCACTCATGCCCGCAGAGGTACATAAGGTAACCTCGTTCGAGGCGCTCCATTGACCCATATTTTCCTCAGGTCCAGAGATGTCTGCATTCTCGTCGACGGGTGCCATGCAGCCTCTTGTTCAGAGCATCTACGGTGCCTTGGTGATCGCAATGGCCCTTAGCTCCCTGTACGCTCTACTAGATTTTTGCCTACCCCGCCTTCTGTGCCCCATGCTGAACGCGTGCATAGGGTATTCGGATGTACTATTTTTCAGGCTTATTACTATTTCGACCGATACAGGAACGATAGGACATGCTTGAAGATCTTTGTGAGCCGTCTCTTACGACGTGTCGTCTCAATATTTGCTGATATTTCGTCGTATTATTCGAGGTTGCGGTGCTCATGTAGCTATCTGCTCGCGATCTGTCTAAGGTTACTGACATCTCTTCCCGGACGACAGCGCATTCGATATGGCAGACACTATCTCTGTGATTCTGATCGTGTGGTATTACACAGTCATGCATTACGGTAGTTTTGATCCACTTGCACGTCTACCGTCATGAGTAATGTCGGGCTTCGCGCATTGTAGTGTGTACTGAAGGAATATTAGAATGATCGGGGTGGACGTGAGTATGGCGGTGAGCACATTCCTGGAATCGTACATGTCGTGAATTATTGAACAACTTATGACTGTGGAAGTCCATTGTTACTCTCATGGCACATAGGTACATACCAGAGGTCTTCACTTTTAAAGAGACATGTTTGACTGTCACCCAAGCTTCTTCGTAGTGCGAATGTGGTATAGTATGTACCAGCTTCTTCTATGAGCGCATTTGTTGATGTTCCCATAGTCGGTGGGCGAAATTTCTCGGCTCCGGCCACTATAGTAAGCGAAACTTGGGCCGTAGGCACCTCAATCTCTGACACCCACAACAAGGCCATACTTTCCCTAGCACAATTCAGTGAGGATTTCTCTCAAGTGTATTCTACTAGATATATGCTTACCATATTCTCAGCCATAGGTACTTGTGCGTGAATGTGTTGCGTACGATCTGCAGATATGTCTAAACTATGACGACTTCTAAGATTATAATGTTCAAGTGTGGGTGTCTGAACCTGTCTGGTGTGCGTCCTTGCTGATGGTGCACAGCTAGACAACTTCATCATTTGGTACCACTACTCCCTAAATCTGCGGTATGTGCTACCTCTTATCGGGAACATAGGACTGACGGTTTGTAGTGGGCTTCTGTGACATATTTGACTTTGGGAATATGTGCCGACATCTCGATAACGGCTAAGATGTGTTATGATTTGCATACAAGTCGGTCTGGTTATAGAAAGTGAGCTTCACATTGCTACAACATGTTGTACGACCTCATGGTCTCGAAATAGGTCCAATAAACTGATCAACAAAGTGATACTGTACACGGTGAACACCGGTCTAGTTAGCATGTCTGTGACCATCTCATCGGAAGAGGCTAAACACTGAACGTCTCGTAGGCTATGTGGGGGAGCTGACATTCTAGCGGTTGGTCCTGCGAGCAGTGCATATAAGTTGAGCCACTCATCAACCACATCCTAGCTATCTCTACAAGGCCCGTATACATGGTTCGCGATCCCTGGATTTCTCATGGGTAAAAGTATGTTATCTCGAATCGATAACTACTAGCTGCTAACAGCTGTGTAGGTTACTGCAGTTCCGTACTCGCAGCGTGAGTTAGAAATCTTTTGACCCTCGTTAATATCTCGTACTTATGCCCTAACTGGCAAATTCGCTGTACGAAGTCTCAATTCTAGAGAAAAACTGCGAAACATGTCCTGGGGAGTGACCCTCAGCTCCCTAGAGCTTTCTTCGAGTGTTTTGCACGATGTTGAGAGCTCAATTGTCTTCCCAACGAATACAGAGGAAGTGAGTTTTTGGTCTGCTTCCCCAAATTGTTTCTTACGACATGTAATGCTGACACTTCTACAGAGTAGCTCAAATGTGCAATTGATCAGGGCTGTAGGAGTCGCGGTGGGGAATCAAGAGCATGAACGACAAGTCATGCCTGCGATCGTCAATGAGGGTCCCTTGCCGTAGGACCCCGTAAACATGTCAGCTGGCCAACAAGAATGATGATTGAACACTCCAGAATGGTAGTTGAACCGCAAGTCATCTGCAGGCTTTGTGCGAGACCACGATGGGATCTCAAGCATTGCGAAGATGCGGGACCACAATCATGTGCAGAGGAAGGCGCTGATGGGCAGGGCGCGTCAGTTCCCATACATTGCCAGCTGATTCAAGTGCCAATGTTCTATCGTGGATTTAGTCAACGGTATTTCATGCCTGAACTGACATCTCTCGAACTTCCGGGGTTGTCAGAACATCTGCATAACAAGCTGGTGCTCACAGACATCCGGTAGACCTGGCGCAGCTGAGCGTAACGCTTGACTGACGTTTACTTCTCTGTAGAGCAGCTCTGTGAATGTCACAGAGCAAATATTGAGGGAAGAATTGACGGAGTTCGGAACTTGACATAGGTCCAGCTCTCGTCCAGCGAAAGACCAAGGAGCTCATAATACGCATACTCAGACAGAAGGGTCGTCATGGTAAGGCCATCATTTGGTGCGATGTGGCAATGCAGTGTCGACACGTCAAGATTCAATGCGTGGTGTCTGCAATATGAGCAATCGCCGCGAAGGCACCGTCATGATCGATGCGTCTTTACCGTCGCCATTTCATCACGAGAAACATTAACGCGCGTCTCGCAGAACACCTATAACGTGAATTCAAGTCATAGCTACACAATCAACTTCTAAAATTAGGCGACTGAGGGTCAAATTCTGACGGATCCGTACTGTGAGATTTCTCTCGGGTCGGCGTTAATTATACGACAGTCGGAAAATCGGATTCAGCCCCTCGGGATTAACATGATTATGCTGAACACAAGATGTATGATCTGCCCGTCGGAGGTGAAACTTTCATACAATGAGGCTTGCCTCGTTGTTTCCGTGTTTTTCGAGCCTACCGGTGTCAGCATAGCTAATATCCACCAGAGCGAACGAGATGCGATCTTCAGGTCCGAAAGCTGCTTCTCGCATTTCATGGCGCGCATTATACGATGCCAGAAGTGAGTTGAGATGCACTGGATACTCGTGAGTCAGCGCCGAGATCGAATTAACGGGAACAGTCCTAACTCACCTTTAGGGAGTATCATGTACAGCGCATAGTACCAGAATGTCTTCGGAAGAACCGAATACTGTACAATGTCTGAAACGATGCTCACATATTCAGCTGCAACAGCATGACTTACCGTGACAATGCACATGATCTCACACGCACTGAGCATTGTATCAGTTCGTGGATACATGCGACAGGCATTCATCGAATACCGACCTTGTGAGTACTCCGGAATTGACGGTGAATAGTATTAGTAGTTGCACCAGTGAGT